CGTCCTGCTGTTCACAATGGCGTTTATGCCGTATTCGCCGCGCTGGCTGGTCGCACACAACTACATTGGCGACGCGCGGCAGGTGCTGGGCCGACTGCGGGCGTACGGACATGCCAGCGTGCCAGAGGTCGCCGAGGAGCTGCGGCTCATCTACGAGACGATCAAGACTGAAAAGGAGACAAAGAGCTCGTCATACTGGGAGCTGCTAAAGTTTCCAAACCGGCGGCGGCTGCTGCTGGGGTGCGGAATGCAGTTCATGCAGCAGTTCACCGGCATCAACACGCTGATGCTGTATGCGCCCAAGATATTCCTCGACATGGGGCTGAGCAGCGTGCAGAGCATTGCCATGTGCCAGGCCATCAACGGGCTGGTGAATGTGTCGTCGACGGTGCCGGCGATTCTGTGGATTGACAGGTGGGGCAGACGGCCGACGCTGCTGCTGGGCACGGTGCTGATTTCGACATTCTACCTTGTCCTGGCGCTGATGATGCGGTCGTACAGTGCGATCAAGGCCAACGACATGACGGGTGTCCTGATTCACCTGGACGTCCACAGCATGGGCATTGCGTCTATATGCATGGTGTATCTTGTGGTGGCCTCGTTTGCGTTCTCGTGGGGTCCGTGCGGCTGGCTGATTCCGTCAGAGATCTTCCCAACGCACATCCGAGCGCGGGCCACCTCAGTAACCACAGGGACCAACTGGATCTCGAACTTTGTGGTTACTCTGACCAGCCCGATTTTGCTGGAGCGGGCTGGATGGAGGCTGTTCTGCGCATTCAGCATCATCATGGCGATGAACTTTCTGATCATCTACTGCTTCTTGCCCGAGACAAAGAACCTGACGCTTGAGGAAATGGACAGCCTGTTTTCGGGCTCGGTGTGGGCGTTCAAGTCGCCCAGGAAAGACCACCGGATGTCGTTTGAGACGACGCTGTCGGACGAGGAAGAAAAGCCCGAGGCACGCATGCTGTAGACGGCAGGATCTCAGCACTTGTATTTTTCTAGACCCCTCTAATAGCATGTAAAAAGCAGACATGCAATGTATGCACACGGTGTGTCAACGTCACTCACCGCCAGGGGGCGGAGGAGATGCGGTTTTTTGGCTTGCCCAATGGCGCTTGGACTTCACACTCAACCGGAAATGAGAGCGAGCCGGCTTGCCTCGTCTCCCCGCGTCGCCTGGTAGAGAGGCAACAAGGCGGCACTCTGGTCTGCCTGCATATGCCTGGCGTGGAACGTGGACAGAGGACAATTAGGGCGTGGAGGAGCGCCCAGGGCTGCTCTACTGGCCCTGCCCGCTAGGAAGGAGACGGGGAGGGCGATAATTAGGTCCCTAATCATTACAAAGCCGAAGCGCGAGCCTTGATCGCTGTTTCTTTTGTTTCCTCTGCTTCCAGTACATTTTTCGTCTTCTTTCCCAAATATTGCCCTTTCTTGTACACACAAAATCAGCAGAATGAGCTTTTCGACAGTCAATTCCAGTCGTCTCCTGCGCAGGTGCGCTGTTCTGGGCAAGGCAAGTGCGAGAGAGATTGTTTGTTGAACAACTGCCTTTTCTTTTCCAGCGAGAGTCTAGACTAAACAGTATGCGGGGACCTGTAGAGAGGAGCTGTTCCTATGATCTCGTCGCAGGTCCGGTGGGAAAGTACTGGGCCGTCAGTGGAGAGCAGCAGCAGCACCAGCAGCACCAGCAAGGCCAGCATTGACGACGTTCTGCTGATGCGCAAGCAGCAGGTACGAGCCAGCAGCAAATTCACATGATAAGCACAGGCCCTATCAGAAAATACCAAGGGGCCACTGAGATCAACGAGCGCGGGACTTCTAGCTGAGATTAATAATCCGCGTTATCTTTTTTTAGATGGCTCAGGGTGGTGTGAGCACGATACAGCGCATGGCAGAAGAAAAGCGCGCAGGCACGCAGCAACAGCAGCAACAGCAGCAACAGCAGTGGGCGGCAGAGACGCAGCGGGCGCCGGCGTCGACGGGTATTCTGACATCAGCGGAGGAAAGGCAGCTGGGCACAATGCGGATTGCCCAGGCGGAGATTAAGGAGCAGTTGCAAGGGGTGCTCCGTCAGTTCGATGCGCCGATCCGGTATGCGTTTGCGTATGGCTCGGGAGTGTACAAGCAGGCAGGATACAGCGGGCAGAGCAAGCCGATGATTGATCTGGTGTTTGCGGTGAGCCACCCGGACCACTGGCATGCGCTGAACATCGCGCAGAACCGGTCGCACTACTCGTTCATGGGCTCGCTGGGCGCCGACGCAGTGACGTTTGTGCAGAGCCAGATGGGCGCCGGGGTGTACTACAATCCGTTTGTGGAGATCAACGGCGTGGTGATCAAGTACGGCGTGGTGTCGATGGACACGCTGAGCAGCGACCTGCTGAACTGGGATTCGCTGTACCTGGCCGGGCGCATGCACAAGCCGACGCTGACGCTGCGGCGGGACCCGCTGATGCGGATCTCGAAGCAGGTGAATCTGACGCACGCAATGCGGGCGGCGCTGCTGATGCTGCCCAAGAACTTCTCGTCGCGCGAGCTGTTCCACGCAATCGCATCGCTCTCGTTCTCGGGGGACTTCCGCATGCGCGTGGGCGGCGAGAACCCAAACAAGGTCGGCAATATTGTCGATGCGCAGCTGCCGCTGTTCAAGTCGCGGTACGCCAGCATCATCGAGGGCCTGCCGAACCTCGAGTTCATCGGGCAGGATCTGCTGCAGCAGGACATGGGTCCCAGCGCGCGTGCGGCTATGGTGCGCAAGATGCCGAACCGGTTCTATGCTGGGCTGGTGCGCCAGGGGAAGAAGGCCGGAGTCAGGCTGCCGCCGGGCTTTGGCGCCGAGGTCGTCAACACGGAGAAGCTGGTGGCAGTCGACCAGATCGCTGATATCGCAAAGAAGGCTGTCGAGGGCATTGTGGCGAGGCCGGCGCTGACGCAGTCGCTCAAGGGTGTGCTGTCGTCGGGCGTGGCCAAGTCGCTGACGTACATGCAGGCCAAGAACGAAAAGTCCAAACAGGCATAGAGCGGAACATACGCGTGTAATTGAGACAAAAATAAAAAGAGAAAAAACAAGGGACTGACAATGTCTAGAGTGTGTATGCTGGGCCTACGACAGCTTGACGAGGCGGTAGATGCGGCGAATAAAGAAGTAGGCGGCAAAGAAGCCCATGGAGCCAGTGCACAGCGCGTACGCAGTCGCAATTAGCAGCGACTGCACAAAAAAGGTCAGTGTCGGCACAAAGCCGCCCACGCCAGGCATGCCCGCACGCACCCGCGAGAAGTAGTAGAAGATCGAGTAGGCCAGGATATAGATGGCCGAGCTGGCGCCGTAGGCAAAGGCACGCCACCACCACTGGTGCACTCCGGCATTGAGCGCCATCCAGACCATGATGATGGTGGTCTCGCAGACTGTCACCGCCAGGATCAGCCCCACGATCAGCGCAAACCCGTATTCGTAGTAGAACGAGTCCTGCCAGATGGACTTGAGCACAAAGAACAGCTCGATGAAGATGACAGCGAACGGCAGCGCGCCAGCCAGCAGCATGCTGGGCACCGGCTGCAGGTACGTGGGGATCGGCGGCACGGGGCGGGGGATCGGGTTGGTGCGAGCCGGCTCCGAGTACGGCTTGCGGCGGAAGCCGAACCACGCGCCCAGCAGCGTCAGCGGCAGCTCCACGCAGAGCCACAGCGCCAGCAGCAGCAGAATGGTGCTGAAAGGCATGGCTGCCGACGAGGCGCGGTACCACAGGAACAAGTTGAGGAACAGCGAAGTACCGATCAGCATGCCCGGGACCAGCGCAGCCGTCATGACTGCGTTCTTGAACCAATTGCTGCCACCCCACGTGCGGTACAGGTGGCTGCTGTAGTAGCCGGCGGCTGCACCGGTCAGCAGGAACCACACAATGCCCGTAGTCAGCAGCCCGCCGCGGTACGACGGGCTCAGCACACCTAGCAGCCCGAAGCCCGTGGTGACGATGAACGTATACATCACCTGCACCGCCGCCCCCAGCAACGGCGCCAGCAGCCCGCCGTATGCCGGTGCGCGGAACACATCGCCATGCAGCAGCTTCCATCCCGACGTCTCCTCGATGTCATGGAAGTCGTCGGTGGCCACCAGATCGCGATTAAGCATGCGCATCAGAATCACCGCCACCACGCCTGTCAGCAGCAGGATGATCACTGCCGAGTTGAAGATCGAGTACCAGTGCACCTGCGGATCCGACGTCGCCAGTACCGGTCCCACCGGTGCGTCCAGTGCACTGCCGGGTCCTCGATCCACCGCACCGAGTACGAGTACGTGATCGTCTGCGCGCGCCGCTCGCCCACCACCAGCGGCGGCAGTGCGCTGGTCGCGTTGAGATTCGGGCACGACGACGATGAGTTCTGGATCGACCGCGGGTACACCTCGAATCCGACGATGCGCCGTGCCTCGCCGCGCTTCTCGTACAGAATGTGCATTGTCATGTGGTTGTTGAGGTGCGCTATCTGCCGCCCCCGATCGTACGAACCGATCCTGAACCCGGGCTCGTATTCCTTGCGCTGCTTGTCCTTGGCCGACACATACGTGGTCGCCCCAGGCAGCTTGTCGACAATCCACTCCACCAGATAGTCCTGCTCCACGAACCGCCCCGCTGCTGCGTCTGCGTCGGCACTCAGGAACTTTGTGCAGAGCACTTGGCACGGCACGTCCTGCCCCATCGTCAGCACGTAGTCCGACGAAGCAATGCGGTCGCCACGCAGCACCTCGCCCACGTTGAGCCACGGCCGCTGGATGTCGTTGGGCTTGCACACAAACGGCAGGTCGTAGTATGCAAACGGCAGCGGCACATGCTCTGAGAACACCCGGTTGACATTCAGCGGCACCCGCTCGCCCGCCTTGAACGACCGCGGGCCCATTGACGGAATGTAGAACCCCTGCGCGCCTGCCACCAGCGCGGCTGCTCCTAGTAGTGCGTGTAGTGGCCTCATCAAGAATGTATGTGCAAATTGGAATCGACGCAATGAAAGCTGGAAAGACAGTTCCCTGCCGCCAGCACGCCCCGTGCTATACCGCCAGCCCTTTTCTCGCGCCTGAACCTGCTGCCCAATCCAGCACGGCCCAGGCTCACCAGGCCCTGTGCCAAGCCTTTCTAATCCCCTGGCGGCCACGGCGAGCTGGCCCTGCACTTCTTCTCTGCACACACCTTGTAGCTATCTATTTCCGCAACTTGCACTCAGGAAATGCCCCTCAAGTCGACCGCCAAATTGACGCTCCCATTGCTCCAGAGAATGTGCCACCGGCCTCGGCCCCACCGCTGCCGCCGCCGTCATACGACGACGTCATGTCTGATATTGCCTCGGGCTCCAGTACCGCAGCAGCCGGCCCATCAACCTCTGCTGCACCGCGCCGCCGCAACTCCACCGGCAAGGGTGGCGCCGGGCCCTTCAGCGACAACAGCATCCCTCCGAGCCCTGACAGCTCACCGCCGCTGGAAGAGAGCCAGCCGCTGATTCACCCGCAGTCATCCGCTGCGCCCAACCGCCACCCACATAATCCTGCCGAGTTGTCATCACGCGAGTTCTTCGCCCTCGCTCGAGTACAAGCGCTCGGTCCAAGGGATACTCGTCGTCAGACCAGTGGCTCAACACCGATGTCATGGCCCTGCACCGATTCCTCAGCGAAAGCAACGAGCGCCCACGGGTGTCTGTCGAAGTGGTCGGTAAGTAGCCTTGGCCGCATCTCGTCGGTTCGGTGCCAAGGCGATACGTGATTTTTGCACATGATTTGCTAACACCATTCCTCCACTCATTAATTTCCACATTGCAGGCTCGGCATATGGAGGACCGTGTTGTGAGCGCACCTACAACGAGAATGGCCAAACACGCCACGAATCACACACCCACCAAGACCGCATCGTCGACTTCAAGTTCACCCTCGAGCTGACTCCCTACATCCACGAAAAAGGCAACCTATTCACTGCGCGCACGCCCACCGGCGAGCCCTACGACATCATGAAGGTCCTGAACGACTACGTCAAGGCCGAGAATATCCTGAAGGAGCTGCGGGTCCAAAAGAAGGTCATCTGGGACTACGACCTGGTGCGCAGAGAGCTGACCGAGTACATTAAATCCGTCGGCTACCCGCACTCGGTCGCTGTCTCGTTCCCCATGGAGCACGACCGCATCGTTGTCAAGTCGCACAGTGATGTTGCTCGCGTCTGGCGCCACCCCGTCACCTCCTTCCTCTGCTTCATCACCTGCGCCTGCCTAGTCGGCTGGCCCATCCAGTACTTTGCCACCCGCCGGTGGAAGAACAAGATCATGTCTGACTTTGTTGTCGTCGCCAGTCCCAGAGACTTTGTCGCCCGCAACCACGAGTTTATCCGGAACCAGGTCTCGTGGAGTACGCGCCCGTACCCGTTCCCCATGCCCAGCTCGTGCTGATACACACCAACCGACACCTCTCCCTTTTCGATTCATGTACTTCTTGGCAATATGCTATCTAAATTCTAACCGGTACCTCTCCGGACCTTCGGTTCATGGCCAACCTCCGTAGAAGCGAGGGCTTGCCACACTGTCGATCCAGCTGCGTAGTGCACATGCCAGTGCGATTTGCTTGGAACAATAAGCCCAGGCGATTTTACTGTCCAGCAGCAAGCTGCCCTCATTTTTAAACACCACCCTGCCCGTTCCTTCTCTCCTACGCTCTCCACTCATTTTCGTCATTCAGATCTTTTCAAGTATGGACCCCCTCAACCCCGCATCGTTCAGCCACAGGTTTGCCCGTCAACGGCATCAACCTGCACTATGTCGACGAGGGCTCCGGTCCCAAAACAGTAATTTGCGTCCACGGCTTCCCGGACCTCTGGTACGGCTGGCGCTACCAGATTCCCTATCTGGTCAAACTCGGGTACCGCGTGATTGTGCCTGATGTGCGCGGCTACGGCCAGACTGACGCACCGGCGGGGATTGCCAGCTACACGTCCAAGACCATTGTCAAGGACTTGGTCGGCCTGCTCGACGTTCTGAATATCGCGATGCCGTGTGGGTAGGCCACGATTGGGGAGCATGGATGGTCTGGCGCGCTGCTCTCTGGCACCCTGAGCGGGTGCGTGCTGTAGCCGCATATTGTATCGTATACACCGACCATGCCCACGCACATCCCTTGGAGCAGGTCGCCAAGCGCCGCCCGAACTGGAAGTACCAAGTCTATTTCAGCAAAGAGTCAACAACTGCAAAGCTCAATGCCGAAATCCCACTGTTTCTCACCACCATTTTGCGGTCGCACAAGGATGCCATGTATACGTCGGTCTTTAGCGAGTCTGTACCCATTGACAAGCGCACTATTGCTGATGCCCGAGGTGCTCAGCGCAGCGAAATGCTGGCGGAGTCTGAGCTTGGATACCACATCAGCGAGTACCAGCGCCATGGAATGGAGGGGCCGCTCAACTACTACCGCGTGCATGAGCTGAACTGGCAGGAAGAAAGCAGCGCTGGTTTCAAACTTGATAGGATCCACAAGCCGTGCTAATGGTTACTGCCGGCAAGGATAAGGCGTTGCCAGCTGCGTGGACCAAGGACATGGACAAATATATCCCAAACCTCATGCGAGTCCATATCGAGGATTCGGGACATTGGATCATGATTGAGCAGAAAGAGTTGGCAAACAAAGCTCTTGGAAAATTCCTGGCCACGCTGGATCACACCAGTGCTAAGTTTAGTTGCCAGTATATTCGATGTCAGCGCCTGCCACATACGCTGTCATCAAGCAAGTAGTGGTTTCAAAGTAGAAATTAACCTTGTCTAGTCATTTTGAGACATGAGCTGCATCCCAAAGCGCCTACTACTGTTTATTTGGCAGTAGTATGTTGTGCTTCTGGTGACAAGCTTGTCGCTAACCCAAGGGAAGCACCAAGACAAACGTACTCTCGAGAACTGCTGGTTGGATGTCATAATGCTAGTGACGATGCGGAGTAGGCGTGTCACATATACAAGAACTAGCAGTGTCCTCACGTCTATCAGAATCGCAAAGAGTCATGATCGGTTCCAATGTCTCTTTTACCTCTGCAGTTGTATACACTGCAGAGCTGACATTCTAACAGGACATGCTTGTTGACATTGTGGAACACGGAGCCCATGAGGCATAGCTGCTAACCGCTAGAGGTGCAGTGCTTGCAGCTGACGAAGGTGTCTTATAGCCAGATCCAGGGACATAGACAGCAGGGCCAGGAATCGGGTATGAAGTGAAGTTTTTGTTACGGGCAGAGTACTTGGACTCGTTCGATGCCTGGTACGCCTTGGTGATGTCGTAGCCTTTGGGCCCAACACTGCCGCCACCAGTAACCGAGATGTGCGCACAGTTGACAAACAATGAGTCGGCGTTGCCCTTGAAAGTCGGGCATATGAATTCTCCACGCACAATGTAATCGCCATCCTTGATATCGGCAGAGATTGTGAAATTGACCTTGCCTCCGCCTTCATGGATCTGATCCATGCACCACTTGTTGGTGTTGCGTTGTAGCCCTACTCGAATACCTTGAACCACGAGGCACCAAGTCCGTTTGTCGAGGCAGGAACCATGTTCACAGTACAGGCACATTTGTGGCCATGGCTGATGTACGGATCAGACGGGCTGTCCTTATTGAGATGCCACTCGAAGACTGTGTCGGAGCCAGCCTTTGCAGCGCAGGTCTTCGCAGCAGTGGAATTGAGATTGTTGATGCCGCAAATCATCCCCTGGGTTCTGTCGTTTACCACATACCAGTTCCTGCTGCTGGCATTCCAGTACCGGCGGATGCAGGTGCCTTCAGACTTGCGCTCGCCGTTGAAGATGTCATAGCTGAGATAGGTGTGTGCCATGACAGCAGACGCGAGAGTGAGGGAGGAGAAGAAGGTGAATAACCCCATTGCAGCAGAATAGATCCTTGGGAGCCCGGCGTTAGACGCTTGATAGTGGAGGAGTAGTTACCAGCCTTGAACCACCAAAGCGCAGTTTGTATGTGAAAGTGGGGCTGTGTTGGAAGGTTGCTAAGACAGCTGCTAATTATTGTGAGCACAGCCTGTCCTGGATCAAGACTATTTGTATAGTTGCGAGATACGGCATTCCTGGTATGGAAATGTAAAGCTTGATGTACATGGGTTTGAGCTGCCACTCAAACCGACCCAAAGAACAACCTTGTACCATGCTGTCCTAAACCGGCTTTGATTTGCGCGTCACGCTGGAGACCCAGAAATATCTCCGACCTGCAAAGCCAGAATACTGGGTGGAGGCGTAGGTCAGCTGGCACATATTGCGCACCCGAGACGCACATGCGGACTGGCCATTGCAGGGTCGGCTTGCTTTATTTTTGGAGCGGCACATCCAAGCCAAATGTCAACAGCACCACATTTTATATTGAAGTGCGATCTGCGCATTCGGTCAGCTACAAAGAGGTGTGCTTTCTCTTCAAGGACGACAGCCCACTCTGGATGGCAGCACTATCCCAGGTTTACTCCATGCATGACTGGTTGCATGATATAGGTGCGAATGAGAGGTGCTTCGGGAATACCTCTCGAATGAATGCGTGGACAGGGATTCGGATTTGGAATGATTCCAAGACCAGGATGGGATATTGATAGGATGCCGGCAATACGGTGGGAGCAGTGATGCAGTGTAGCGTGCAGACAAACCAAACTGCACCTCCGATAACTGCATGCTGCGTAGATGTGCTATCGTATGGTGCTGCTAGGTGCTGTGGATAAACTGTGCAAACTGATCGCAATATTCCAAACCCGATGAATCCCCAGCGCAGGTTACGGGGCAGGCAAGTCAGGCATCCGCCTGGGTAAATGCTAGGTGCATTGGGCTGTTCATATATGCGCCAAACCTTTGCATTGGACATTGCACACTGCCTGCTTCCACTCCGCTCTGCACTCACTCGTTGCAATGGATTTTGACCAGAATAGACAGCGAGGACGACCATTTGCATTTGATCCCAGTGGCATGCAGTCACCGCTTCCACGGAGCGCACGCCCGCTGAACCTCGGCTTTAGTGGTTCAACAGCCATTCAAAGCAACAGCAGTACGACATATGCAAAGCCGATTCTGATGCCAACGTCTATCAGACCTGTGGGAAGCGATTATAGCAGGCAGAAGCAGGAGCGCCTCAAGCGCAAACACACCGCAAAGCACAGGTATCAGACCCACACCACTGAATCGCAGCAGACAGGAATAAGGATTCAGTACCAGCGCCAAAGACAGCAAGCGCAAGTGGAAATAGCACTAAAGGCAAGCGAGGACTACAAAGTAATTGGCATAGGTAATCAACGCTGATAGCCATGAATAATGCTGACACGTCATGCTGCTGGGTAGACAGCAGTACAAACAACAGCGCACATGTTCAGTTGCCTGTGCAAAAGAGAACCAAGGCACAACACACCAGGTCTTGAAGCGGGCAGTCGGCAGTGTGCTTGGTGCTATCGAACAGCGACATGAGGCTAGCCGGGTCGTGATTCGGGATTCAAGCGACGACGAGTTCAGCGGGAGCATTGACTTTCCTGACGACATCCTGCAGATGAGCCCAGGCGACTGGGTCTGTCTGATGCGTTAGCCAAGCCAACAGGGATTGCAGAGCAGGGAGCCGCAAAAACAGAGGAGCCAGAGGAGCCAGAGGAGCCAGAGGAGCCAGAGTTTGACCCAGATCTCACCCCTGCAGCTGCAATCCAGCACATCAAAGGCAAGCAGCACGCTTATGTGTCATCCAGCCACGTAACTGACCATTAATGAATACGGTGTCAATGTAGACATCCAGACCACAGTCAGCAGCTTGGCGGAGCAAGGGATTGCAATAGTCAGGTAAGCAGCGCGATTCAGCAGAAGCTACAGCCACCTGCCCCACGCATCCACCCTAACCGAGCACCAACTCCACCTGTAGCGACATGGAGACGATGCTTGCAACCTACCAGCATGCAGTGGACCAGGCAGTCGCCGCTGAGACCAAGCACAAGTCGGCGGTTCTTGCGCAGTGGGAAGAGGTCAAGAAGGACGCGCAGCACCTGCTCAGATCGGTGCGGATGACTGCATCTGCACTTGGCACTTAGCTAGAATATGAAGGCGCAAGAGCACAGCAGCACCAGCACCAGCACCAGCACCAGCACCACA